AGGAGGAACCTTCCCCATCCTGGCCAATCGTGATGCAGGACCCTGCCCATCCTGGCCAATCGTGATGCAGGACTCTGCCCATCCTGGCCAATTGTGATGCAGGAACCTGCTCATCCCGGCCAATCGTGATGCAGGAACCTGCTCATCCCGGCCAATCGTGATGCAGGAACCTGCCCATCCTGGCCAATGGCACAATTGGGACCGACACCCCCCTCACTTGGGGACAGGATGCTGAGTCCAAATCCAGGCCTCCTCCCGCCACCTGGGGATTCGTGAGAGAGGCTTTAAAAGCACAATGTTTCAGTGCTGAGACAGTTTAGAAGATTTCATCTCCTACATTTTAAGACAAATTGTCATTTTTTTATTTATTTTTATCTACTTGATATCCTTCCAAAATCTAAAAACTATCTTCAGAAACTAAACATGGGCGTGAGATGAAGGAGGCAACTGAAGCCGAGCCTAGAGCCGGGTTCCCAGATGGTGGCTAGAGGCACCTTCCACAGCGAGCAGCCAGGGGTGCTGGGGGCACCCTCTCAAGAGCCGTCCTCCGGGGGCCTACATGCCCCCGAACAAAGCACTGGCACATGAGCCCTCCAAGCCCCCCCTGCGTTCTTGAAAACGTCAGTGTGGCACTTGAATGCCAAGGTTTCCACCAGAGCCTGGGAGGAGAGACGCGAGCCGTGCCCTGCGTTACCTGGCGATGGGGAGGAGGGAGGCGGGCTCGGTCATCTGGCTGCTCTCGTCCAGCACCACCACAGGGAACCGCAGGCCGGCCATGCAGGGGAACGGGCAGGCCGCGCAGGTGGCGCCCACCACGCGGACCTGGGCACAGGGATGAGAGTCGTCAGCTACTTAGAAAACAGGAGCCTGCAGTGGGGTCAGCACTGAAGGCGGGAGCCCTGCCATCAGAGCCCACAGGCCACTGTGTCCACTTGCCACTGTCCCCGAGAAACGGGGGCCACAGGCCCAGCCACCGCAGACGGCCTACTGCAGAGCGCAGGCTCACTCAGACGCTCGCAAGGAAGCCGTGATGCCAGGATCTTACATGTCAGGGTCACACGCACGTTTTATCCTCTCCTGGGGCTGAGTGAACGGATGCCCCGGGCACGCGGGCGCACGGACCCGCTCACCGTCAAGCACACGCCTAACGACGTGCCAAGAAGGAAAAGTCGCCGAGTCATTCCAACAGCGGTACAGCCCCTGCACTGCTGGTCGTGAGTTTACGTGACCCTCACAGGCTTAGATATTTCCCCAGAATACCGTTATTCCCCAGGCAGAGAGCCTGGTCAGAGCTAGTATTTCATCTCTGGGTCTAAATATAACAAAGAGGAAATCAGTA